TTTTTTTTTTTTTTTTTTTTTTTTTTTTTTTTTTTTTTGTGTCTTGAATGGAGATGGACCAAGCCAATAGATTTGTGGCTTATATGTCCAGATAATAAACTGTCGTAATTTTTGGTCACAATTATGTACAAAACGTTACAAAAAAAAGAGCGGACGTAATAACTGGAGCCAGCATGTTAAGTGTAATTATGCGTAATTTGGCTGAAAACGAAAAAGGAATGCTATGATAATAGAGGATGATTGAACGCAAAAACGAAAGACAAAAAAAAGGAAAGAAGAGGAGAAAAAAAAAAGCACATGTTTACAGTACTATGTAAAGCGAGAAAACATTCTGTTTTTCAAAAGAAATAAAAAAGTGGTTTTTGGCTCATTACTTATCAACTATAAGAAAAAAAATGAACCTAGGTTCTACAAGTCCGTAGTTCCTGTAGAAATATGGGAAAAATTGACCGCGGCTATCCGATATTGTAAACTATGAAATCTCAGATCTTTTTTTATTAAGTCCCTTTTAGTCCCTATTAGTCCCTTTTACAACGATGATGGATATAAAAGATATGATCACTCACGTCCCGCAGTGTAAGAAGTTACTGAAACATTAGAATAAGAAAAAGGGCTATTATATGAAAACAATCTATAAATAATTTACTTTCAATGTTCTCTATTTTGTAATTCCTCATCCTTTTTTTTTTTGTCTATATCTACATTGTGGTTTTCATAAATTAGCAAACCACTTTCATTGTCATCATTGCTTCGGAATATGAAATTTGAGACAAAAGAACAAAAAAGCTAACAAGCAAATAATAACTAATTTAATCAACATTGACAGATGACAATGTCAGAGTACATTGAGTATTTCTGTAAGTGATGTCTTGCGGACGGTTCACTTACGATTGATCGTTGTCAATAACGCAATGCATGCAATTCAACGAATTTGCTTAAGTATTCTGAAATGCGGTCTGGAAATATGCTTCTGTGATAGTTAAAAACCTTTTTTGGTTTCATTCATATTACAACGAGTATGATTATACCCTTCATCCCTTTTAGCGCAGGTCACGTTAAATTTGTACGAACGTACGTAAAAACCAGAAGGATTTGAGATAAGTCCACCTTTTGTTAAGATTATTTTTAATTGTGATTTGATTAGTATACAACTTAGGTGACAATATGTCTCATATTTTTAGAACTTGTCCCGATTTTTTACAGCACGATTTCTGGTTCCGGATGTATAATATTTACTCCAAATGGTTCCGAATGACAATAGTGTAAGAACGTAAAAGTTGAAATGCAAACTTAAATAGTGTAAATTGTCAACTAAGAATGTGGCGCGCACAGTACCGGCTGCGTAAACCGTGGATTTCCCATTGAACGCCCCTCTGAGAAAAATTTTGCCTCATGTCACGCAGTGCGATGTTTCGTTTGAAGACATTTTAACGTTGTTAACGTTCAACTACACTGGATGAAGTGATCAGTTACACAAAATCAATCCATTTACTAATCCTTCCTGCATATATGCTCCTAATCTTCTACTTTTTGTCGGTTCAAATTTTGGTTAATTCATTCGCCAATCCATCATCATTCGCAGATTGTCCGCCTGTAATTGTCTTCCCAGTTCGTTTCCTTAACTTTACGGCTTATATAACAACTTTTCCTTTTTTCAATACGCAATGAAAAAAGTTGCTATCGCTGTTGTATTCAGCTGTTGGCTGAAAACGGCTGAAAGCGAAATCTAAAGTTCAATTTTTCAAAAAAAATGATTATCTCTCCAACATCCAACCAACAATCGTCTTCAAACTTCGTACCCACATAGAGCCCTTTTTTTACAACGTATATAATAATCTCATGTTATTGACTCGCGAACGTTGAAAAAGGAAGAAGAAACCGCGGATCCAAAAAATTTCTGTAATTAATATAAACAAAGTTAATTATTTTGAATTATTTTCAGTTTTTACGGAACGCAAAAAAAATTTGAAGGAAGATTATATACTATCGCCTTATTATTACCTTCTTATCTTTCCCATTATAATCTCGAAAAAATGTTGGGTTATGGGCGCGGTCTACGTCGTGACTTATCACAGCCGGCACTGGCTCCAAAATCTCTGGATATTGGCGTAGGCACACAGAGTTTTGGTTCAACTGCTAAAACATGTCGAGTTGGCTTTGGTCGTCGAGGAAAAATTTTACCATCCGGATCTCATAAGTTGCCTGCCTTAGGAACGAATGCTTCCGGAGATGACTCATTATCAACCAAAGCTCAAGACGATGAAAAATCGAAAGAAGTGCACCCTAAGGACTTAATCATGAAAGAGCCTAAGGAAACTTCGAGTTTGCTTACATCTCCTAAAGCAACTCATGGCGTAAAAGGTACTCCGATTCAATTGGTATGCAATCACATACGTATAAACTCGGATCCAAATAAGGGCATTTATGTTTATGAAGTGCGCTTTATCCCCAATATCGACTCGAACCGTTTAAGGAGACAATATTTAAATGAGCACAGCGTCAAGTTTGGCGGAACTAAAACTTTTGATGGTGTCACTTTATATTTACCAATTTTGTTGAAAGATGAACTTACCACGTATGTCTCAAAAGCGTACGATGGATCTGATATTGAGATTCGGATACTTTTTAAAAGAAAAGAATTGCTAAAACACTGTATGCAGTTTTATAACGTCCTTTTTGATCGAATCATGAAAACTCTAAATTATGTACGGTTTGATCGGAAGCAATTTGATCCAACATCGTCAATAGTGCTCCCACAGCATCAGTTGGAAATATGGCCCGGATATGTGACCGCCGTAGATGAACATGAAGGAGGTCTGTTACTTTGCTGCGATGTGTCTCATAGATTACTATGCCAAAAAACTATTTCGGAAACGCTCCTTGAAATTTTCAGACGTAACCCCAAGCACTTTCAAGAAACGGCTAAGAAGGCACTCTT